CGGAGCTGGAGGCCTCATCCCAAAAATCCAATACTTACATTAAATGATCCTAGGCCAAGAGCAAAAATACAACAGGAATCGGAAAGAAGGTTCCCCTGGGGATTGTCGAGAAGAACCGATTGCCGCGGTCTATTTTGAAATCGTACGGTTGGATGTCACGGTAAAAACTAAGCAAAATGACACCTAAAATCCGGTTTTTGCTCGATAACTCGTTGATTTTTTACTCGAATCGAAGTCGGATTGAAAGTTCCCCTGGGGATTTTCGAGAGCTGTCCGAATCCGGTCTCAGAATTGTGCTCTGAAAAAAACACACACCAGGAAAAACTAAGCAAGATTTTCGGGTTATTTGGAAAAATCGCCGCAACGGAGGAAAAAAATAAATAGGGAGATGCGCCTCGAAACAGGGCGTTTGCCGGTACTTTCAGATTTCGGAACAACCAGCTGTGTCCAGAGAAAAGTGCACCTAAGTGCCAGATGGAATTGTGGAAAATCCGGCCGGGATGGACCATAGGTTGCGTTGAGTTTCCCCTTTGCGTCGCGTCCAGTATCAAAGGCCGTATTCGTTTGGAAATTTGTTTGGGTTTTGAGTTTCGTCACCGTGTTTTGAACTCTCTCGGGTAGTCACGCTCATTCCTCCAGCGGTGATACGCGCGGGTGCGCGTACAAGAGTGGTGTGTGGCGTCTGGATATTGATTTTTTTCCCTGTCTTCGTCTGTTCAGGATGATAGCGTGCTCTGCCGCAATATATATTCTTCGTAGCTTTATCCCTTCTAGCGTTGTCATTGAGATGTCGATTTTCCGTCTCGTGACCGTTTGCATTCTTCATCTCAATGATGGTGTGGGGGATTGATTCGGGATATTTCTACAACTCACCCTCCTTTTGGATGTTTTGTGAAGAGTCATATCTTCGATTCATGATCATAAATCATCAGCTAAAATCTTACTGTAGCTTTAGGATTTGAGCATTGATTTTAGTATAGAATCTGCATATGTGATATTCAGGGTGGGCTTGTGTTAAGGAGTTTGGCTGCTAGCATGAATAGGGTACATCTTATTGTTGATAGGATGCGGGTCGGTCAGGAGGTACACCCTTCTGACCCCTACCCCCTTAGAATTGTCTACTCTGTGTACTCCCTGAGATGAAGTTCGTCTTAGACCTTTGCTGATCGTCTCTCAGCAATAACAAGCAACTTTCCCATCTCAACGTGGTCGTGGACAAGCGTGTCAACGACAGAACCTTCATCTATCTCAAGGAGCAAGCTACCGCCCACGGGATCACTCCTTGAAACAACTATCCAGGGTCACACAGGAGGGGGTAAACACCAGGGCTTTTTTCTNCGTCTTAGACCTTTGCTGATCGTCTCTCAGCAATAACAAGCAACTTTCCCATCTCANGATTTGAGCATTGATTTTAGTATAGAATCTGCATATGTGATATTCAGGGTGGGCTTGTGTTAAGGAGTTTGGCTGCTAGCATGAATAGGGTACATCTTATTGTTGATAGGATGCGGGTCGGTCAGGAGGTACACCCTTCTGACCCCTACCCCCTTAGAATTGTCTACTCTGTGTACTCCCTGAGATGAAGTTCGTCTTAGACCTTTGCTGATCGTCTCTCAGCAATAACAAGCAACTTTCCCATCTCAACGTGGTCGTGGACAAGCGTGTCAACGACAGAACCTTCATCTATCTNCCGTCCCTTTCCCTCGTCAACGGTGCTAACATCGAAGTTTGGTACTCACGAGAGCTTGTCAGCTATATTTCGCTTTCACTCGCACATTTCGTAATTTTTCACCCCCATGCGTTTTTTTTTGGCGGTAACCATAATGGTGGTCGAGTAGATCATGTTGTGCGGGGCCGAGAACCCTCACTCCGCGCAAGGGGGATGATCGCACCACGTTGT